TAATTTCTCGCTTGGGCGTTGGTAAAACATTTTGAATCAAAAAGTATATTAATGAGTAAAAAACTTCAAAATTTTTGCTTTGCTTCACAATGTCTTTATTAATCGTAAACAGCTGTTTCGGCAGTTACGCCATTGTCAGATGCTCGACATATACTGTATGGTCTATGTACATCAGTTTGCTTAAATCTAGTACAAGTGTTATAAATGTAGTTATCGTTCTACGACTATCAGTAAGCGTATATTCTACAATATATATATATATGTGTTCGTGTATATGTACCTTATGAGACGCTATGTATTGCATTTTCTATTATCGGAGATAAAGTAAAATTAATTTGATCGTTTGTTATGAATTTATTTTGTTTTTTTGTTATTTCCATTTCTATTGTCTCAAACATATTTAATTTTGAACTTTTTGGTAAATTATGTAGCAACTTTATATTATTTACATCTAGAAAATGCACATTAGGGTTACAATGTTTACTAAAACCCGTCGTATTGCGATCATTATAAATCGACTTTTTATGCTCCTCTATACGTTCAGAAAGGGCACCTTCTGTCTGTCTAATTTATATGGCATCACATTCGGAACAACTAATCTGATAAACACCCTTCTCTGTAAAATACCAGCGTTTTCTTTACTATTACAGAGAATGGACTTTAAGTTACGTTTGTTTACAAAATTTACTAATTACTTTACAAAATGACTAATTTTATTAGATACTATGGGTACATAATTCAACATGTGAAATTTTTTCTCTTGTGTTGTTCCTTTGTCTGCTTTACGTAGAACTTCATAGAAAAATCCATTTGCTTCGAACAAAGCAATTTTATGTTTAATAATAAATAATATTTACAACTTAACGGTCTTCCGATGGGCTCCCCTCTCTACCCCTTTCTCAGTGAGATATCCATGTCGCACGTAGAGGACCTTATATTCCATTCAGTCTCCCCCCTTATTAATGTTCTACACTGGTCAAGATACGTCGATAATTTGTTTTGCATTTGGAAGGGTACAGAGAGGATAATGATTAATTTTTTCAACTATATAAATGATTCAGTACCGGGTATGAAGTTTACAGCTGAAATTGAAAATGACAATAGTTTAAATTTTCTAGATTTAAAAATTATACGAAACGGCCGTGAGTTGTCGTATGAAATTTATAGGAAACCAACTTCCACAGGTACGCGCTGGTACCGCACGATTCAAAACAATCCATCAATATAAAAATAAGCGCATTTTACTCTTTCGTACATATATTATTAACAGTAACTTTAATGAAATCTAGTTACGATAACAAAGTCAACCTATTAAAATATTTAGCAATTAATAATGGCTACAATGAAAACCTTATAGGTAAGTTTATTTTAAAAATAAACAATAGTCTCATTTTAAAATATTTCTATCTAGTTACAACGCAAGACAAAAAATTTTACATGTTGAATTATGTACCCATAGTATCTAATAATATTAGTAATTTTGTAAAGGAACATAATGTTAATACAATTATAGTAAATAATCATTATAAATAAAATAATAAATAAATATACTATTATGAAACATTAGCTTATTACAGAGATGTCAAATTGATTCTCTAGCAAGAATTTTACTGATAGACAGGGTCAAGTTGGTTCCCATCCATTCAATACGTAAATACTATATTTCTTCCATCACATTTTTTCCACGCTTTGGACTGGCAGCCATTTCAATGCTGGTATGTTTAAAAAATATAGACCACTGCTTGAAAAAATCAAAGTTTAAGAAACTGGTTAAAATATTTTTGAGACTACATTAATAAATTCAGAGCAAGTTGTGGAACCTGTTTGATACAATAACATATTGTTTCTTAAAAAGTATTTCTTGTCTTTGGTCTCTTTTCATTCACTTTTTTTACTTTGCATCTTGATACACGCTTGTCATTGCACAGATTTCAACTCTTCTACAAATTCAAAAATGTTCGGATTCGGTGCATAAAAGGATTCACGATTATCAGTAGTACTCGTCCAACGTTAAAGATTATTTTTTAGACTTTTTTTAAATCTAAAAGTATAGTTATCAACATACGGCAGAGTTTTACCCCTTTTACTTAACAAACACCCCATTGTCAAATATTAGAACAAGTAAAAAAAAGTACTGTGATAAAAATACGACTGATACACCTAATATATTATAACTGAATACATAGACAGCTTACTTGCGATAAAATCATTCGTAAAAACATTTGTTGATATTTAGTTGACTGAGAGTTGAGTGTGATCGGCTGGTCTCAAGTTCAATGACCTGTTGTTATTCTAAATATTATAGGTGTTCATTTTTCCTTGACGTTACGTTAATTCAAAATTGTATGGTTATGCTTATATTGAAACTTCAACAAAGATGCTGTGCTACTTGATATTCTAATGCAATATATATTTTAAGTGTATGGGAACCAATTTGACCATAAGCCCTAATGACTCAATGAACAGTGGGAGCCCATTTGACTTTTTTTATAAATTTGGGAATCAATTTTTCTACGCCCGCTTATTACGTGTTACTTGCTAAGAATCAAAGTCATAGTAAATTTGGTGACGATTCTTGGGAGACTATGTGTTTAGGATGACATTTTGATACGTATTTGAAAAAAATTTTTTGCTATTGACTATTATTTTAATTATTTTTTAACTATAAGTCACGTATTTCTTATTAATACGACTACCAAATGAAAAATGAAGTTTTTAAATACCGAATCTCACAACAAAATATGTTAACATGGCGTCAATTAAACTGATTCAAATTGTTTTTTTTAAATAAATATTTGATAAAATGTTTACAACAACATTTAATGTTTGAACTAGAAAGCTTCTTGTTGCAGGGACCACTTCTTGCCGGTAAAGTCAGCGATCCCAGCTTGACGCCTGGCATCGGATCCACTGAACCCTACCTACAGCCTTGACACTGTTTCCCATTCACCCAGAGTGGAAGATTTGCGGGGTAAGAAAATAAACCTGGAATCACTATGAAGAAAAATTCTACGAAAAAACCTGCCTCAAAACACCCGGGGTTTCATGGGAACTATTTCTAGTGAAAACAGTTTCTGAAAAAATCTGCACTCAACGGGAATCTAACCAACGACCTCTATAACGGTGTTATATCAGTAACAAGCACGCTTACCATTAAGCCAACGCTGTTCTCATTGCATTTTAATTGGCCCTCAATGTTTTTTCTTTATTTTTATTTCACTCGTTTTAGCTGCATCAAAAATTATTTATAATACTACTTTTAAAAGCAAAGACACTTATTTGGTGATAACAATGAAGAGAAATAGTGATTAATTAGTAGAAATTATACTATACATTCTGTTATACTCCAAAAGTATTTTATTATGAAAGGTAAAGGGTACAGCAAACAAGTGTAAGAAAAAAAATCATTTGTTTTCAGGAAGCTGCCACAAAGAGCTTAGCTCAGTAGATTTTATTGATCATTCTATTTATACTTGATTACCATGCATTATTATATTATATTATTATTATACAATCATACCACCCACCTACCTACCTATACACACCCTCACCTACACCTATACACACACACGTTTAAATGTATAAGTGGGATTTCACACTCCTATAGACTTTGACCACCAACTCACGACTACTTTAATTTGAAACAAGTGTCTTTTAATTTAATGTATCAAATATTTACGCTTGTAACATTTGATTTTTTTGTGTGACAATATACTTTTTGAACCAACATAAATCGATGTAAACAGATCAAGTTTCATTTCGTTTTTGCCTTTTTGTTCAATAATATTCAAATATAATTAGTTTATTTCATTCGTAACTACAATTTCTCAATACAAAGCAATATTTTTTATTTACAAAAGGTTTGAAGAAAAAAATTAAAATTTCTAATCTCACATATTTTAATACAAATATAATTTTTGTATCGTTTGACAGAAGATACAATTTATTAAACGTTCTTCTACTCTGAGTTACATGATTTATGTCATGGTGTTTTTTTTTTTACTATCAGTTAAAGGTACAGGTGAATTAAAGTTATTATATTTCTCATTTCTGACCCAAAAATGGTCTCATAACAGTAACTGCTTCATCAAAACTTTATTAGAAATCGTGCTGTATTCAACCCATGCTAAAAACAGTTTTTTTTGTAATATATACGCAAAATTTTTGTGTTTTTTGAAATCTTTAAATCATAAAGCACCTTTTTTTTATTCAATACTAATTATTGAAGAAACCGTTACTGGTCTTTTAGAAGAAAGACACTAAATTTACCTACAGTAATATATTTTTTGACCTATGGTCGTCTTTTCCAACTTTTTATTTTGTTGTTAGAAATATGGTATTTAGAAATATTTAAATATTTAAATATTTAAAATTTTACACTTTACTTAGTTTAAACTAATCTTGAAAAAGCCTTTACTAGATAAGTCACTCCATAACTTCTACCACATATTGTAATTCTTGTAATCTTTCTGCGGCTTCTATGGGACTTAAACATCTACGATCAGTATATTGTGTAATTTTTTAATGAAAATCCTGACTTATATTTACTTTAAGTATTGATACAACAATCGTGTTAATACGAAATTTCAGTGTATCAGACGGTGTTTGTCATGGTAAAAGATTAAAAATGACTAAATCATTCTCTAAATCATTTAACTGTTTAATAAACTATTTAATATCGTTAAGCTTATTCAATATACTATACACTTTGTAAATAATACTGTATTTTTGATATCAGACTTTTATCTTAAATGAAAGGTAGCTGAAATTGAGTCAAACGTTTTACCACTATATCACAGAACCTCAGAATCTTCGTCTCCGTCATAGTGTAATATCAAGATATCATTTACAGTGGATTAACAAGTTTATTTTCAGTTATATAGAGTGGATGAACAAATACATTTTCGGTTACGGTTTCAATTCCATACAATTGAGTTACTTTTAACTCATTTCTATAATGTATTAATAATATCTAAGTATATTAAATGTGTTATACTTACGAACATTGATCACAGCATATCATGTAACCATCGTCATGTTCAAAATCACTGGAAAAATATAGATAAATAAAAACTATATAAATAAATAGACTATGACATTTACTTTTTCTTTTGTTTTTACATTCATCAAATCTATTCACAAAGTTTGAATATGTTAAACAAAAGGTGAGAGTAATCAAAGGTCTAGATTGAGATCTCGAGACAAAACTACAACTTCCCTCTTAAGTACCATGAGTAACCGTGATGCAATTTAACAGTTAAACAAGCTTGACTACTATTATTTAAAATAAGACAAGTTCAAACAAAGGCTAAGAAATATGTTTTATTATAAATAGTTATAAGGTCAATACCATATGCAGCGAGTAATACTGTCTTCATCATCTCCACCCTCTGGGGCAGTTTCAGTTTCCTCTCCTTCTGGTTCAATTTCACGACCAACTTCACTGCTTATAGCACTAGCTGTATCATCGTCTACTGCAAGATAATTTTCAGTGTTAATTAATATGATGTAGAAATACACGTTATAAAATGTGAATCCAATATCTAAAAGCACTTACCTTGATTCAAAATCTGAGATGTTTGTTTTACAACCTTAATCAAGGGATCTAACTCTTTTAACGGATTTTTTATAACTTCAGTCGGTGTATGAGGTGGCGGTGTGCGAGGTAGAGGAGCACCATAATTATGATCTTGTAAAATGACTTGAAGACACTAAAATTTAGAGTTACAGGTTTTGAAATATTAAAAATAGTTCAATTCACATAATAAAATGATATAAAATAATGAGTAAAATAAAGGTCAGAGTATAAATAAATAAAAATTTATTTTTCTAAGCTTAACTTTTAACAACTTAAATGTTTTAAGTTTAAAAGTGGTGGCACTATTTTACCTTAGCATAAATGGCGTCGTCATATATATCAGTATATTTATACATACATCACCTGCACGTAAAATATGTAGGGGCACAAATTAAAGTTATATAAGTAACTATACTAGCGCATGTAAAAGATACCATTTTTGCTTAGACATGGTCATGCCACTTGATAGATAAACTTTTTGTGATGTACCCTGATGTATTAAACGTATTGTAGGATACAAGTAAAATATTTTTTATTTTTAGGTTCAAACTTCAAATTTTTGTTTTCTTAAATTTTTTATCACAACATGCCACGTTTCACACTGTTGTTTCCGAATGAAAAAATTTATCTCAAGACCCCTTGCCAAATTACTATCTTTACATAAGCTGTATTTACTAATTTTCTAAATCAAATCCTACTTAAATAATTTAATAAATCTCTACTAAGTATTCTTCAAGTATTATTAAGTCTGAATTGTTCAAACTCCATATTAAGTATTTAGCAGTGTCTTTTTTAGATACAAATCTACAAGTATGTTTTTGAATGTGCTCGCCTTGCCTCATTATTTAATAAATCTTCAATTCTTGCTCTATTTCGTACTTCTTTAAAACCCTCTGTTTCACCACCTCAATTCAAAACAGTACAGATTTTCATTTCTCTGATTTCATCTTTTTAGCAAGTTTTCAGCTGCATAATTACTATCCAATTCAGCATTTTAAATAAATATTTTTTATATTTCTCCTTTGTTGTCCATCTATAAGCTCTTCCTACTTTTTTTTCTTTTAAAATACAAGCTTCAATCAGAGCTTTTATGGCTTAGCGGTTGACAGTGGTAGAAGAAACTTGAAGGGTTGAGAGATCGAATCCCGTAAAAAATTATAGAGATTTTTTTCTCGGGCTATTTCGTTGGGATGAGTAGCCAGGCACTTCAAAGGAAAGCCAACACCTGAGCAGCTCATCGGGTAAAGTCACTCTAAGTTTTTCAAAGATCGGTACATGATTTAAAGTATTTGTTAAAAAATGTAATCCATTAAATTTAATAGTAGCTAGGATGTGCTTGAGAGAATTGTTGGGCCCTGTAAATAATACGCATGCACTAAAGAATTTAATACTTGGAAAGTAATCAGGAAAAAAAGAGCACGGACGGTAAAAGTAAGAGATATTAAGATACGTAAAAGCGCTGCACATGTATACGTGGAATCTAAATATTTTACTGTAATTATACCAATTGAAGTCTTTTAGTACATCACCATTGTTTTTTACCATCTTTTGCAATAAATAGAAACTCTCAAGCTATCAATGTACTAATACAGAAAATTAATAATAAAATACTAAAAACTAAGCAGATTGGTAGACATTATTAGCTTGATTTTTAACAAAACCAATGACTATTACTTTGGGTAATGGTCCAAAAATAATATTATAAGTTTTACCATAAATACCACTATGCATTGCCACAGGTTTCACTTCGATACGCATGAGTAGATATTTTTCCATACTTTTTGACAAGCTTTGACACGTGCTACTAAAACGAATGAAATTAATTTAATACGTTTATCTCAAAGCTTTGCTTTTTCGATGCAAACAAAAACCAACCTCGAGATATCTATGAGGCAAAACACGGCGCGAAAATTTACTAATCGCAATTTAACCTTAACACTAGTTAACTAGTAGTAATGTGGGGCGCTTGACGAGTCTCGTGTTGGCATTCAACATATCGTCTATCTTTGTCGCTATGTGGATACACAACACTTAAATCGTTAAGTGAGATAATTCATCCATAGGCCTGAAATTCAAAAAAGTTTTTAGATACGCTCTGTCAGCATATGCAATATATAGAAGCTGAATTCTATGGCAGCATTTAGATCTTAACCTCCATTCACAGTTAAATTGATACGTTGAGTGTGCATGATCAATTTATTTGTCACCATTAGCAGGTACGACTAATTTGATTGAGAACTATCTGTGAGCGATGAATATCAGCTTGTGTTGCATCCAGAGTAATCTCTCGATGTTAATTTCTTGTTAAAGTTGGTGGAATATCAAACAAAAGAAGCTCAGACTTTGAGCACTTGCAAGAGTAATCAAGTAAAAAAAGTGTTTTTTTATTTTACTTAAAAAAATATCTTTTGCTGTTCTCTTTCCTTTTTTCTTCTTTTTCTTTGGACATGCAACACCCTTTTTTTGTTTTGTTGTTCTCTTCTTATTTTCGTCTGGCTTACACGTTTTCTCAGTCTTCATCTTTTGCCTGTACTCTTACGATGTATGGTTTACGAGTGTCACTGTTAGTAATAGACATCAGCAAAATTTACTGGACAAAGGGATGCGATTTCGTTACTTTTCAAGGAAAAAATTGTTGCACTTGTGAGCCCTAAGATTTTACGTAGTTTTTTAAATAATACTAACACGATATACGTGTTTACTGCGCACTGTTTCGTAACAGACTAACTTAGCAGTTAAGTAATCACCTCTTTCCAAACTAACAGCTACGTGATCTCACGTAGCATCAAAAATACTGATTTTTTGTATAATTTTCGCGATATTTGTGAATAGACCAGGGCGTAAATAGTGATCCACACAAATTATAAGACTTCTCTGTGTACAACATCGTGTAGCTCCGGTACGCTTGTCACGATAATTATTTTCTCGCTAACTTCTACCACGTGTCAAAACGACGGTAATAACTAAATAATAAATAATAATAAATAATAAATAATAATAAATAATAAATAAATAATAACTAAATCTCTACTACACCAACAGTTTATTGACCCTGAAAACCGATTTGCTGAGTAAATCTAGTCACGTTATGCGTAGTAGTATCATCAGGGCAATCCTGCATACTGTTGTAGTTAATTTGTTTTTTAATATTTTCAAAATAATTACCATTTGCCCAGAAATAAAATTTTTCAGGATATCCCTTCCAGCTATAAACATGAAATACGAACGAAGTCTCAAACGCTGTTACTGTGTTTTTACGTACTTTCACAACAAAGTGCGAACTGGCACCATTTTTGTCGACAAATGCGTCGTGCGATTCTACGCTTTCATACTTGGAAGAACGTCCACAGAGCAACGGTTGTTTGTTATCGACATATTATTTCTTCAATTGTTCTTATGAAACATTCAACTATTCTAGATTTTAACAGTAGGTTATGTGATATTCATAGACTTTTACTTTTTCGTGGGGTGAATTGCATTTTGCGTCATAAGAATTTTATAACTTCACAAATTTGAAGAAGCATTGGTGTGCGATTGCCACTTCTTGATATAATATGATGAAATACGCTTTGGCGATGTTATTCGATAAAATATCCTTGATCAGTTTTATTTGAGCGTATTTGCTGATGACATCGATGACGACGAAAACGTAAGAGCAACCATTAATATAAGTCTCTACTGCTATCAAGTTTATTAAATTGGCTTTCTGTACGTTGTCTAAGTTACGCACATTACAGCCATTTGTGGGAAAACAATTTTTACATTTATTTTGTAAATTATAGGCATCATGACTCAACAGATAACTAATAACATTCCGACACAATCATTTACTTTCCACAGCACTCACGAGTTTGTTACTACCAATATATGCAGTTGGTTGCGCCGTTTTATAGTAAACTTTTTGCAGTATATTCGGCATAATTCTTTTTTTTCTTTTTCTTTTTAAACATAGATCCAATGGCCTGCTGGAGTAAAAAAAACTTCTTAAACGTAATCTTGCTACAACTACAGCATGCTGCCCCTAAAGCGACTGTCCACTTATCCAGCGGTATTTTTCGAACAAGCATGTGCGAAAAAGAAAATTCATTCAATGTCCGCCCAGCTTTTAGACAGTAAGTCCTCTACAATTCGGAAAATCTAAACAGTTTCCTAATAAACAATTTTCAGAAGGATCATGAGATACAATTAGATTCAGACAGTTTCCGTAAGTTTTAAAAGGTGATGCTGTGTGTTTTGTCAACTCTCCTAATTTTATTGCATCTAACATGAGTTTGGCGTTTTCATGGTGCACGCACACACAAACATTGTGAGTACCGTCTTAGTTGAACAAACTGCGTTAGGCTCACTTTGATATTTTCGTTTTCTTCTTTAAATAAAACAAATAACTCATTTAAGTTGCCAAGTAAAAGTCTTTATTGAACTCTTATTTGATCACCGCCAATGAAATGCAATCTTTTACATCTGGCACTACACCACTTACCTTACCGTGTTCGTAAAAAATTTTTATACGATTCTCACTATCGGCTGAAAATACCTTACCCTTTTTTCATCAGGTTACGATAAAATTCCATATTTTGCAACTGAATCCAAGGCTTTTCTAGTTTCTCTTTCAGTGCATCCAAATTCTTCCATCACATCACGTCGATTCCAAAATTTCGGGGCGTGTGTAAGCAGCGTAATTATTTCCTGCTAATCATTCAACGATGCAAACTTTCCTTTGATTTGCTCTAACACTGCGATACCTGCTTTAAGGTATTTTTCGTCACGCCGTTTTTCCTCATTTTTGAGTTTGGAAGCCGAAATTTTGCACTGCAAGCATATCATAGCCTTATCATGAATGAATGGAGATTTTTCTTTAAACAATTGCGTAAATTTCAATCAATGTTTGTTAACGTGATGATTCTCCTTATTCAAGGGATTACAGTAGACAAACATCTTAAATACTGACTGTAAAAAGTAAAACATAACAATTAAATGGCTGGCAATCACGGATGCGTTACCATAGCTTTGTGTCAGATCACTATAATAATAAGTATTATAGGCAAATCACTTTCTAAATAGACGGAATTCAAAAAAAAGTGCAACTTACGACAGAAAATAGTAATGTCCTGATAATTATAATCAAAGAGTGTT